CCCCAAAACCCCAAAACCCCAAAACCCCTTTCCTTGTGTCTTAATTTGAAAATTCTTACTAAACTCCTATCCACGAGATTTCATCTTCTTCCCTCTCTTCGCTATGAGGTTTCTTCAGCTATAGTTTAGCTTGCCATAGTACTTACCTCATACAGCATGAATGGGTCTAACAGGTCAGATCCTTTAAGGTCTCATCAGAGCTTTCCGAAGGTAGACACATCTTGGGCAGTGAAAGACTCATACATGCTAGATTCGAAGAAGTCATCGTGGAGCCCGCTCAGAATTCGTAATAATTTGTTGCGTACACTGACAAGATCTTTAATAGTATGTTTCACTTCTTTTAAATAGTCTCTAGTCTTCTTCCCTACTTTAGTCCAACAGTCGATGACTGATTCAGAAAAGGGGTAAGAGTAGAGGGCTTGCTCTATTCGGAAACGTCTCTGATGAAGCTCCTTAGCATTTCAACTTTGAGATAGAATTTTGGTATTATCAGGAATTTCCTCTGTCGAAGGAGAATTCTCTCCAGCAGAAGCATCTGTTGAATTTTTATAAACTTTATCCGGAACTTCTGATCGATAAAACTTATACATAGATCTATGTTTCTTTGATCTATCACGAAGGAGAGGGAAGAACCTATCACAAGGAATGTAATTAAAAGCACACAGGAGTACTTTAAAGAAAGACGGTATACAGTTCTCAACAATTGAATTGAATGCAGACTTGAGAACTTTAACCCTCTCTGTCCCAAAAGCTCCTTGTAAATCTCTAGAAGTTTCATACATCGACATTCTAAACTGACTCGGATTATTTTCAATAATCTTCGGATAAAGCTCATACACATTCTTTTCCTCCTCTTGCAAAACCTGTGCCGATCCTTTCTCTCCAGCTCCTAATCCTGCACCTAGATCCTTCTCTCCTAAGCTCCGTACTAACTTAGCCCTAAGTTGTCTATTTTCTTCTTCAAGGTCAGCCACCTTCTTCTCCAATTCCTGATAATACCTCTTCTTTCTTTCTCGATGAATCTTGGATCTCTCCTTGATGCTAAGGGTCTTCTCCTTCTTCGCTCTTTCTTTTAAGGTCCTCTTTTTGTGCTGCATATTGGGCAACCAAATTAGAAATTTTATTAAGAGAAATTCAGGTTTTGGGAATTTAGAGGGGTTTTGGGGTTTTGGGGTTTTGGGGTTTTGGGG